TGGTGTGTATAATGTATATGCTGTATATACTAGTTAAGTGCCAAGTTAAATTAAAGCAAATAATTATGTCATGCGCATAAATGTATTCATCCCATGTAAATCACAAATTTTAAAACCTTAATTTGTGTATTAAAAAAAACAATACACTTTCAAATTTAATGRATTAATCATGTATTTCAGACAAACTCTATCTTTTGTGAAACATTTGAAAGAGGTTATTAATTATAATTATACACAAACATTGAAATAATAGTAGGTAAAAGTACACAAATAAATAATGACATCATGCTATTTATTATTGCTCTCTCGTAAAATATTAATCTTTTAAAATTTTGAATTTTTGGATGAAGAATAAATCATGGGTTAAGAAAAATCTGGTAAAATACCTGAGGGGAAAATATTATGTTGTCAAAAAAACTTCCTTCAGCTACTGGTGTTTCCTGACAAATTGCCACTTTTTAATTGACATACCAATTTCGTAACTCACAAAACCGTCTACAACTAAATTCGTTCTTATTTTTAATTAAAACAGTGATATTATAAAACCGGCAAAATCCTTGCAAATTCGAAACACCCCAACAAGCATAATTCTCCGAATTCGAATTGTTCATAGATTTTTTTTTTATGGTGTTTTACCAATTTTTTTTCAATGGATTAAATAAAAAAAATCATACCTTGCTAGTATTTCTTCACGTGAACGTTCCTTCGCACACACGTTTATTTCTAGTTCTTGAGTCTGATCGTCAAACAAATGTAAATCAAATTGTTCCAACCAAGTAGGCGTTGGAATTCGATTACTACCTTTGCTCTTGAATTTTTCTCCTCCTAATCTATACAAAAATTAAACTTAAATTATTTAACGGAATCCTTGACACGGACAAAAGAAAAACATACCTAAAACGAACATATGGGTCACATAGACCTTCAGGTATTGTACAGTTTTTTATTTTAATCAAAACAATTGTTACTACTGAACTCCAAACTTGACATTTGTACTTCCTACCTATTTCCGTTACTTTTGCAGTTTTTTGAAGACTCTAAGGAAATAGCACGATAATATTAAAAA